AAGAAACTATACATATAGACACACACACACACACTTCATATTGTTTTTCTAGCTTGCATTCCCTAATTTACCCCACAAGGCCATAAACCCAACCATAATACAGCTAACTAAACAGTAGACAGTTTATTTAAACCTATCTTTAGGCAAGAGTTGTTTTCCTCAGCCACAGAGCATCAATCTACTGTTTGAAAGTAAGTTAAGAACAGATATCTATTACTAATATTTAAAAAGAAAAGGGGATGAAAGAACATAGACCTTCTCCTCAAGATCAACTTGACTCTTTTCCACCATCAAGCTCTCTAACTCTTCTTCTACCTTCTTTAAATCACGCAATGTATTAACCATTTCAACCTTATTCTCCCTTATTTCGTGCCACCGCAGTTGAATAGCTGACAGATCTTTTTCCATGTGCATTTGTTCATCCTTTAACCTTGCCATTTCATTGTGCAAATCATCCCTGATGACAGAGAAAGACAGGACAGGCGAAAGACAAAAGATAGAAAATAAAAATTAAAAAAAAGATCAGTTATAAATAGATAAATGAGAATCACAGGATACTGATACAAGCTGGTAGGTACATGTACATCACTCTAGAAACTACAAAAAAAATATATTATTGATATCCTTAATGTGGGTTATAAGGAAAAAAAATATTACAAAATAAGGGAGAATTAATGTATAGGAAGTTACTGGTGTTAAGGCATCCAACCAAAGCCCATTAAAGTATAAAGAGGACCCATCTTGAATATAAGGAAACAAGAACCCAAAGTAAACAAATATGGGATAAGCTATTTCTTAACACTTCCGCTCATATGTACTATTGTAAACCAAATAGAGCAACCAAAGCAAATTGTCCAACCATATTGACTAACAAAGAAGTAAGTCTCAATTTTTGACCTAGTGGTTTCACCACTTTTCACTTTTGCAAATAATTGAGAAAGTTTCTTTATGCACTATAGGTTCACAATTTTAGCACAAGGTACATAATGGTCTGGAAATTAATTGTAAAGTCAAAAAGCACCCACACAATCCAACACCCCTCTCTCTCTCCTTGTTCTCTCTTCCCTGCTCCTCTTCCTCATATCATTCTCACTGATCCTCCCTAAGCACCAGATCTTGTGCTCCAAAAACAGTCTGAACTTGTCAGAGCACTAAATTTTGTGAAGATAGGGACAGAGAGAGAGATAACAAGATGGAGACTGCCCAACTGAGGAGTATTTTGGACAAGTGAAACTAATTTTAATGGCATTATGGATCAAGAGAACCACATGTTCATAAGTGATATTTTTAAAAACACATGCCCATAATTGACAAAGGTTAAGCCCACAAAGGTCAAAATCCCCTGAAAAACACAAACCAACCACCGATAAATAAACAGAAACATGACATCTCTCTGTAATTGTAAATGTACAAACACATACTCATTCACATAAATATATAATAAAAAAAAATTGACCAGACTGTTCACAGAAACTAGAAAAATAAGTCTCACAATTACAAAAAATATTAGTACTTACTTTGAGCTCTGCAAACTTACTAGCTGCAAATCAATTTCTTTCGAATTTCTGAATCCTTGCCCTTGATAATCAAGTTTATACTCCAAATCATCAACTTCCTTTCGCAAAACTTGAATTTCTTTAAAGAGTGCATCAGCTGAATCAACAGGTGACACCAAGGCCTCAGCCATTTCCTTATCAGCTTTTACTTGAGCTAAAATACCTAACACCTATAAGCAAAAGAATGTATAATTAATTTTTCTAATCAAGGAATTTTGTCCATTAATATTTTTGGGCAGAACCCATAAAGCAATTCATTTGTGCAAGTGCATGCATCATGGTATGAAACAAAATGACACAAATACCCTCAATTGACAAAATAAAAAAGCTGCTTCTTCAACATTAAAAAATCTCATTGAACTTTTCCATAATGCCCAATTAAGCCCACATAACGAGGGTATAAAATAACAAAATACCCTTATTAGATTACATTAAGATAACTCTTTTGTCCTTGTATTCCTAATTACTTACTATTTTCAAAATATTAAATTGATACCAATTTAATCAAAATTAAATACAAAAGGAGCAAAAAACTAAGAGGATCAACGACACTAAACGTGTTTCCAAAGGGACACTAAATTGGTTTCCCATTTATCCTTTTGAGACCACCAGTGGATACTCTAGTAAGAGTATGATAAATGATCCTTGAACTAAATTTTTACACTTTTAAAAGTTTTATTTTGGAAGTGTTTATTGCTAAAACATAATTTATCCTCAAAAAAATTAGTAGAATATGAATTCAGTTCAAAAGAATTTATCATGCCATTTTCACAGCTCTTACTACTGACTGGTGCTCCTAAAATGGGGCAATTCAATTTGAGATGCTGCTGAAAACACTTTCAGTGTCAATGCTCCTCCTACTCAAATTGATGACTCTTTAACCTATCAAACATTGTGATTAATTAAGAATAGGAATACCAAGTCAAACGAGCCATTTCCATGTAATGTAATCAGAGAGCATTTTGATATTTATAACCATGGCATGAGGACTCAATTGAAAGTTCAGGGGCTTAGTTTTAAGTTGCTGAAAGAAGTAACTTTATATTTTGTGAATTGAGGGTATTTGTGTCATTTGACACCCTTATTTACAAGTTTGAACTAGAGTGTAGTTTAAGCCAAAACTCAGAAAGGTTCATGTAATTTACTAAAACTATAAATATTTTGTTCAACCTAATTGCCACAAACCAACACCTTTTGAAGGCCTTGGCTTTGGGTCATCTGGTTGCACTAGTTGAATTACCAACCATGTGAAAGTAAACAATAGACATATTGAGTGAAATACTCACAGCAAACTCACGATGGAGCTTTAAGTATGAGGTGGGTAAATGCTACTAAGAACAGATTGCAATCCAAGCAGATACATTTGTGAGACTTACATCATCAAGGGCTTGAGATTTTTGATCCAGCTCTTCAGTAAGCTGATGCAAAGTTTTCTCCGCATGAGGGATTAACTCCTTTCCAGTTTTAACATATTCCTCATAAACCATTCGAAGCTTGTCCAACTGCTGAAACTGAGACTCCGCATTTGAAGATTCCATGCCCAATGTTTTCATCTGCTCTGCAGAACTGGCTGCCTTCACTCTTTGCTGTGATTTACAAGGAACAGAAAACATGTTAGAATAACCAGAGCACTTCAAGTTAGAGGAGCTTAGGTCAACAGAACTCTCAAACACTGGAATGGAAGATAAAATACAATGACTTATATAGTTAATATATGAGTGTTTAAAAAACATGAGATAATGTATACCAACCTTACTAACAAACTGATCTTCCTCCTCAGCAGAGAAAGGGCGTTCACAGCAAGGACAAAAATGCTTATCACGGGCAATACTTAAAAATGGATCATATATTAGTCGCATCCCACCTGCAAGGTTGTACTTTCTGCAGGCAATCCATCATACACAGCATTAGCACTTCATTCATGCATTACATGAATATGTTTGCATATAATATAAGATGATTATTATGTTAAGACTTGGAACCTTTTCAGTTCATCTCTTGTCTCCTTAGCTGTCTCTAGTGCTTTGGGATAAGAATCAATGGTAAAGGAGTGCTGATCCAAAGATTTTACTCTGGATTCAATAAATCTCTTCTTTGCTGCATTCAACAGCAGGATAACAAAAAGTTATGAAATGGATCTGAGCAAGAAATTGTTGATTCAATAAACTATTTCAAAAAAAGGGCATGGATGTCTGCAGTTAAAATGCTACTCCCTCTGTTTCATTTTTAACGTTTTAGTTGTCCTAGTTTAACCATGCATGTATTTTTAAGTAATACTTTTTTATAGTATAAAATAGCAATTGAAATTTTTTTTTTGATAAAACGAAACTACTTAACAAGATCTATGTAAAGGAATTTTTTTTTGAAAAATTATCATTCATAGACAGTGAAAAAGCATTACCTAAACATGCATGCACGGTCAAACTAGGACAACTTAAAAAAACAAAAAAAAAAGGAAAGGGGAACAAGGAGTAGTTGATATTAATTTACTTAAGAAAACCCTAACACAGTCACATACTAATATGATATCCAACTAAAATCAATTTTGAAAAATGGGATAAATTCTTGTGAATTAGAAATTTCATATTATATAGAATAAAAGGAAAAAAGATCAGGAACCTACACTAAGTTTCACATTTTGATTAAATTGTCATATGGTTCACAGTCATATATAGTATAAGAGCCCTTAATGTGAACTTCAAAAAGGAAAGAATACTAATTAAATATTTTCCAGCAATTTAGCATAATGACAATTTCTCATGCTTACTATTATCCACAAACTAAAATAAATATATCTATTACAAAAAAAACTATGCCATCAGCCATATAGCCTTGTGGTAGAGTTACCTATACTCTTAGCCACAGATCTAGGGTTCTATCCCTAGTCTCTAGGTACGAAAAGAAAATCTATTAGTAAAAACTATTATCAAAACTCTTACATGAAACTCCTACCAAATTTAGGGCCAATAATGCCAAACAATAAAAGGCTTAGGTGTCAGGCCCAAACTATAATTCCTATTCAAATATATTTTATAGATTTTTTTTAATTAAATTAGCAGCAAATCTCAAACTAGACAAAATATAGCAGATTACAACTAATTAGATACTTTATAATCATTTCCACAACCAAGAATGAGAACGTCCTTGAGGAAACCAACAAGTAGGGTATAAACTGGAATACGAATGGACACACTCCTTTTCAATTTCTTTTACCATATCTGAATTTGAAATATTTAAAACAGTTTTTAAGAAGTAAATGACAATTTCAAAATAACCACATAACTCAGGGTGTTAACTCCTAGTACATCAAGTTTTTCTAATGGAATAGAGATATGGATGAACATGCAACAACAGAAGAATTATTTCATATCAGATTCTTCACCACAAGAGAATTAAGTACGTGAACATTGGTGTACTCAAATACTAGGTAAACCATGGACTTCAAGAAATAGAACGATACTTACAGTCGATATCCTTGTGATGCTTGGACAAGTTATTATTAATTTCTTGTATTTTCACCTGCAACATATTTACCTCCTTCTCAGCTTCTTGGGATTTTGAGCTCATATCTTCAAACTCTACTTGGAGAACTCTGCATCAAGATTGGTTCAAGTTGAAGGCCAAATTACAATACACATGCAAGTTGCTGCTGAGCAGAACCAAGTTCTTAAACTGTTATATACAACCCTGAAGAGCATATGATAGAAGAACAGAATCTGAAGATTTAAAATAAAACCTAAGGAAATATTACAAATTAGAACAATGAAGGATTATGCATTAATGCTTGTTTAACTGGTGAACATTTCAGAATACCAATTTCACAAACATATATTAAGTGCTGATATATAAAGCATCCAACCTAAAACAATATAAAGCATTCAATCTAAAACCAGCTGAAATTAGTGGGGCAGCCCAATTATCATATATGACCAGATGAAACCACAAAATTAATAAAATATGGAGAAACACTACTTAACACCCACACACAGCCCAAGGTCCCATGATGACCTAAAAGTGGTTTTGCAAATAATGTTGAAAAAGCAAAACTGTAACTCAAATGATCAGTTATATATAAAATTATTACATTTAAGACAATACTAAAAAAGCAAGGAAATAGCCACATCAAGTACTTTCCTGCACCATATCATCTCTCATCAAATGCAAAAGATCAACTAACCTTAAAGCTTGGGTTATTTCCGTCTT